TATATATATATATAAACACAAAAATTTGACAAAAGTGCTATTTTTGTAAACTATGTGATTATAAATCCTGATGATTAACTTTAAAGTTGTATGAATATGAATCACATGCATGATTTTAAATTAAGATAATATGAATCCCAATAGGAGGCTTTTAAATCACGTGAATATGAAACTCTATATTGAATTTAAAAAATGTGAAAATTCAAATCATGATGCGCAATTTAGTTAACGTAAATATGAATCACAATGCATAATTTTAAAATCATGTGAATACGAATCCCATGTCTAATTTTTAAAGCACATATAAATACGAAAATTGATGCTTGATATTACAACCGCAAAAACGTATCACGATATTGGATTTTAAGCTCGCGTGAATATGAATCGCTACATTGAGTTCTAAAAGCGCGTAAATCCAATTGCGATATTGGAATTTTAAATCTCGTAAATAAGAATCGCAATGTGCGATATTTAAACCGCCTGAATAAGAAACGCAACGTTCAACTTTTAAATCAGGTAAATACGAAAATCGATGTTTGATGTTATTAGTGCAAAAATAATAAAGTGTAATCCCAAGTATTATGTAAAAACTTATTACAATATCCGAAATAATTTAAGAAACAAGTTCAAAAGTATTTAAAAAATAATTAATTCCAACATGTTATATTATATAAATTGTTAACTTGCCATTATTATGCAAATTTGTCAATCTTTGAGAGTAGTAAAAGTCATTATAATTTTTATAATCACTTCTAATCACAATGAAATCTTTAAACATCATTAAAATATTGATTTATATATGGAATAAAATGAAATGATAATAGGAATAAGTAATATACATTAGTTTAGGCTTGCACAACCTTTTTGAGTGAAGAGCTTCTCAGGTACATTAATGAAGGGCCACATGCATATTTATTCATGTTAGTAGCAAATATGATAATTTTTGTATAAAAATTAGTGTTCTAAGCACTATATATTTTTATCAGTAAACTTAATGGAATATTTGCAAAAAAATAAATACTTTTAAATATTTGAATTCATTTAAAACTAAAAAAACTAATATTTTTTTTAATTATTAATTCATTAAATAAATATATTAAATATTTTAATTAAAAAAAATGTATAATGTTTTAAACCAAAACCACATTAAAAGAAATTTTTTAATGCATTCAGAAGCTAGTGTGGGCTTCAGGTTGTGCATCTTTACATTAGTTATTGCAATTGTAATTCAAAAACTTCATATGTTCAACTCAAAATATTGTATGATATCATAAAGTAATAAATACAGTACATAAATTGAACTAGTCTCTCCAATGAGCAAGCTTAACTGACTGGCATAAAGCCAAGTTTTAAAACTTTTTTTGATAATACGAGAAAAATAATTTTTTTAAATTCTTTTCATTGAATGTTTCGAGAATTATTAGTAGTTTCAATTAGGTTAATATATTCACATTTGCTAGTGAAATTTATTTATAAAATTAAGGTTATGCTAAATAAAAAGTCAATCAATTAGGATTCTATAGACAAAAAGAATTGGAAACTGTTGCTCTATGCAATACCGTGAAAATAAAAGGGAAACTAATAAAATAAGTCTACATATAAGCATTGATAAAGAGCAGTTTTGGAGAGAAAAGAAAAACTTTTTAACCAGTATTAATGAATTAAAAGGATGATTACAGGAGCATACATGCCAACATAGGAGAAATAAAATAACAGAGATTTTACTAGCGGTATTATTTAGGCTACCCATAAAGTTTTGATACATCATGCATAATCATGAAAAAAGAAAATTAAAATTGGAAATATAAGCACTAACATTTAGCAAAGTAAAAAATATGTATATAAATCCTAATTTGAAAAACAAAATTTCAAAACCATTATTTATAATTACTTAAACTATTAACACTCAACATCAGTACTGGCAATAGCACCATCTGTTGAGGAATAAAAGAAGTACTTCTGTCATAAGCAGTCATTTTATCGAAAAAAATTTTTTTTTTTTTTGAAATTTCTTCAACAAATACAGAGAAATTTGAGAATATACGGGTAAACAGGAGATAGTCGAAAAATACAGGAATCTTCGTTAAAAACAGGAGACTTGGCAGGCATGCAGGAGATTTAAATTTGTTGAATTAAAAAGGATGATTACAGGAAATCCAAATTAGAATTGAAAAGGACAATTACAGGTACCATGCCAGAAAAAAAAGTGAAACTATGTATTTACTTTGATCTAGCAGGAGACATGCAGAGGGGGTTGCTGTCTGGGACAACCCCCTTTCCCATAGGTGATGGTAAGAATGGAAGTTTATGATTCTCAACAAGCTCTTGAATTTGACTTTCAGCTCGACTATAAGATGCACCTGAAAAAGAATATATAGTTATCAAAGGAATATATAGCTATTTTTCATCTGAAACTTTTGATTTTTTTTTTTTTTTTTTGTAAGATTTTGTGAGCAAAAACATAACAGAATGAGAATTTTAAAAAAAACATAACAGAATGAGAATTATAAAAAAAAAACATAACAGAATGAGAATTATAAAAAAAACAAAAACATAACAGAATGAGAATTTAAAAAAAACATAACAGAATATTAGAGAACATCAAAAAAATATAACAGAATGAGAATCGAAACATGGAAAAGTTTCACTAAAAGGTGGTTACAATTACTGTTATTGACATACTGTTACTGAATCACTGTTATTGACAATCTAAGACTGATTATTTTCCACGTATGATATAGGAATTTTTCAGGATTTTTGTAAAAATTTGACTTTCCCTGACTATTTCCTGCTTTTTAGAGTAAAGTAAAATTCCCTTACTATTCCAGGTTTTCTCTGTACTCTTTGGCCCGTGAGAGGTCAAGGTTATGGACTAATAACTCAGAGGGTGTTACAAAATAAAACTGACACAGAAGACATATTTACCTTTCCCTATAACCACAAGGGGTCGTTTCGTTGATTTCAGTATATTGGCCATGTCTCGTATACTGGAGGGAGATGCCAAAGAAATAGGTGGATCAGGACAAGGTAGAGGATACTCTATTTCATCCGAAACAGCTTCTTGAGATATGATATCACCAGTTATATCAATGTAGCAAGCACCTGGCCGACCATAGATACTCTCTCTTACAGCCTGAATGATATTGGATGTGATAAAAAAATGTTATATAAATATATGATTATGAAGCTACTATTTATTTCTTTTAAAGATAATACTTGGAAAAAATATTTTTTAATGCTCTTTAATCTTGAGACAGGGAAATGTGTTACAAATTGTAACAAATTTTGAGTTTAATAATGTACTCATTTAATCTTACTTTTCAAACAGCATATGTTAGAGTTATGACTTGTCCTTGTAACTTTTCAAATAGGCATTATTTTTCCTTAAAATTCATTTATTAATAACAAACCATTTAATTTTGCAAAAATTAATTTAATATTATGTATATGTTTCATAGAAATATAGGTAATTAAGGATTGTGTAAATAATAATCATTTTTAATTTAAATATATTTATAATTTAAAAAAAAAAATGAATATTACAAACAAAATGATAGAAAAATAAAAAATGCTATACTTTTCTATTAACACGCATAACAAAAGGCATATCAGAAAAAATATGAATTTCATAAAACAAGTAAAAATATTACAAAGCTTTTAACTTCATCATAGTAAAAACAAATTAGAATTCTGATTCTTTAATAACTTATCCTCTTATTGTAAAAATTAACAGATGATTAGTGTTAAAGGTTTTTATTAATTCATTTTATGAACAATCAACAAAACAGAAAAAAAATCAGAAACAAGAGTGAAAAAAACAATTTTCCTAATATAATGAAATATTCCTAATTGTGTATTGATTAAAAAAATAATAAAATGCACATAGAGTGCATTTTTGAAAGAAAAAGTGATTATTGGGCTGTTATTGGCAGACAATTTTTTAATTGCCACTTCCATAGCTACCAACATGAATAGGAAAAAATCCAGTAGTATCTACGAAACAATATGCATTTCATGATAATTATTGCATTACTAAATATGTCACACATAGGGATTTTTATGGTCATTAAAATAGAAAAACTATCTTATTTTCCAATTATAATTGACATTAAATGAACTTGAAATATTATTCATTATGTTTACACACAATTTGAATAGCAATATGCTTTTAATTCATCAAAGATAGTTAAAAGACTTTTCAATTAATTTAAAAAAGGAGTTCTGAATAAAAAAACTGAATATTTTAGAACAAAAAATGTTTTTAACCGATTTCCATAAATGAGGCTTGCTTCATAATGTAATTATAATATGTATTTAAATATTCAAGCAAGCATTAATCTGTACAAAAATGCTGTTTCAATAGGGATTTTTTAAGGAAACTTACTCAATTATAGGGGATTTTCAAAAAATGCACAAAAACCAGGATAATTTTCCTTAAACCAGGAAATATAGGCAAAGTCCAGTAGTCTACTGGAAAATCTAGTAGAGTTGGCAGCCATGCTCTTCTTATCTTTAGTTACTCTGTTGTTGTTGGTAACCATTAATTTTGCAGGTAGCATTCGGAAAAGGCTAATTTATTGTCCTTGCAAGAGAATCAGTTAATAATAACAATAAAATATGAGTATTCAGATAAACATACTTTTTCAACATGAAATGGAATGAGAGATACATCTGCAGGTCGACAAGAATATTTAGTGTATAATCGGCACGCCTCCACCTAAAAATGAAGAAAAATTAGTTTAGATGAACTTAAATTGTTAATTTCCACAAAACTTAACACATAAACTTTTATGGTTTATTCATGTTTACATTTAGTTCTTGAACCTACTTAAAACATCAGCTTCTCTTTTTTGTGCATGAATGCACTCCAAAAAATTCTTTTATGAGAAAAAAAAAGGTATTGGGCATTTCTCAATCAAACTCTAAAATCATTTCTCAATAAGAATGTAAAGTAATTGTTTTATTTCATTTTGAGAAAAAAATGTGTTTGTTAAAAATGGAATTTAATTTTTACATATTTAAATAACTTTTTTGGTTACCATCTACACATTATTTTTAAAAATTATACGGTTCAGACAAAAAAAAAAGGACTTTTCAAGGGAAAATATTATTAGTTCAAGTTAATTTTTCGATAATTTTTTAGCAAGGTTTAAATATGTGCTTATCACAATTTTTTACATTCATATCATTTTTAAGTATACAGCTTATTTTTTATACTTTATAACCATTGTTGAATTCTGATTTTGAGCTTATGACTACCAGTGTTCAACTCCATAACCTTGTAAACTTCTGGATCAAGTATAGAGAGAAAGTAGTTTTGTGCAGGAATGTTTCGTGGAACTAACCCACATTAGCGTAAAATGGAGAGGAAAATCACAAAAAACTCCCATAGTTCTCTAACCCATGAATAACTATGTATAAAACAAATGAACTATGTTTAAAACGAATAAAGCATTAGTCTCTATAATTATCATTAAAGTCATGGAATCAGAGGATCAAAAAATTAGTATTACAAACACATTTTTTAATATTTAAAAATAAATAAAGGGAGACCCAAAATATCTATTTTAAATTAAAAAAGGTAAAAGTTTTAACTTGTGAGGAAGTAAAAGTGAAATAGTTGCACCAGTGAAAGATACAGAAAAACAAGATTCAAACAAAGAAAAAGAATAAATAAGTTTATAAGCAAATAAGTCCAGTAGGTTAATTTGCCAAATAAATGTTGAATAATTTTTTTTCTTCCCAAATGTTCGTTGAAATTGGCAATTTGCCTTTTTTTATGCTATAACCTAACCTAAAACCTAAATCTGATCCCTCAATAGTGACCTAAACTTTAAAATAGTCACTTTTTATTTAAATTTGAAAAGTAATGAATTTCTAAAATATATAATTTATTAAGTACTTTTAAGAAAGTCAAAAAGTTCATGAACATTAAAATTATACATAGTTTTTAAATCTTTTGGTGATTTTTTCATTCGTAAGTTTCCTCCCCCCCTTTTTGACAAAAATGCATTCAATACAACAGAAGAAAATAGCTGAAATGTTGATTTGAGCAGGTAGGCATAATTTTCAGAGCTTTTCTAGCTCTGCAATTCTTGCTAAAATGTGTATTGGTATCTTACAGAATTTCCGATTTAATATTTCCATGCCTAGCTGGTCATATAAGGGTAAAAAAAATACTCGCTTGATCTGATCAGAATTCTTACCTGTCCCAGGCAAGTAGGGCAATATACATTCTAAGAAATACATATTTAGAATCCTTGCACAAAATGGTGTTGAAAAACTATGCCAATTAAGAGTCACAAATTAATATTTAAGACAGTAAAAAAATGAAGTACAGAAAAAAGAAACCAATTATACTTGAGACCAAAAAAAGAAGAGAAAAAAGAAAAAAGGAGGTATTAAAATCATCAAAATTCAGTTTACTTGTCTAGTGTGACTGGAAAGTGTTTGCCTTTTTTTACAAACTGCATTTAGAATTCATCTTCAAACAAACTGATTTTACATTATTCTAATTTCCTCTTTGCTCTTACAGATTTAAATAAAGATTGCACAGATTTGTAAAACTTTTTTATTCTTCCTCCGTCAAAAATTGAAACCCCAAATTTTTTTATTTTTTATTTTAAACCTTTCAAAAAATATACATTAAGGTAATTAATCACAGAACAGTATGTAAATTTACTCTACCAAGACAATTAAATAGCCAGTTAAACTTACATCACCTTAAAAGCCAGTTAAACTGATGTAACTTAACCCACTGGCGGTTAAGGAAATGGGCAAAATTGGGAGAATGTTTCTCCCCTACACACAGTTCCCCTATCAGTAAACATGGGAAAACCGGTTTTGCTATGCAGAGAAGACTGCAGGTTAAAATGCGACTTTTTACGTGCAGAANTTTTAAGCTTCTCAGAACACTTTATTTCGCATAGGCATACATTGTAAACTTTAGGGTCCCGCTGTGTACCCCCTAATTGACCTATGATTATTTCCTGTGGTATGGTACACTATTACCGTGTAATGTAATACGTGGTCTAATTTAAAAATTATAGGTCAATATTTAGGTCCGATACCGAGCCCTTAGTTAACATAGAAAAGTGTCTTCGAATTTCCTTATTTTAATGCGCTATTTAAAATATACATAGTGCACCCTCTAATTGACCTATAATTATTTCCTGTGGTAGGGTACACAATTACCATGTAATATAAAACCTGGTTCAACCAAGATATTATGGGTCAATATTAAGGTCTGATAACACTATTACCCTGTAATATAATATGTGGACCAATTTAAATATTACGGGTCAATATTAAGGTCCGAATTCGAGCTTTACGTTAACATTGAAAAGTGACATCGCGCTTCCTATCTTTAAAGGGTTTTAGAAGGCGAATTTCGTCGTTTTGAGCAATAGTGAATTAAGTCATTTTTAAGGAGAGATATCATGCCGTTTGTTAGCTTTGAAAAGTGTTTTCGAATTTCCTTTTTTTAATGCACTATTTAAAATATACATAGTGTACCCCCTAATTCACCAATAATTATTTCCTGTGGTAGGGTACACTATTACCCTGTAATATTATACCTGTTCCAATTAAAATATTAAAGGTCAATATTAAGGTCCGTTACCGTGCCGTTAGTTAACATTGAAAAGTGTCTTCGAATTTTCATGTTTTAATGCACTTATTAAAATATACATAGTGTACCCCCTAATAGACCTATAATTATTTCCTGTGGTAGGGTACACTATGGCCCACNTCCAATTTAAATATTATAGGTCAATATTAAGGTCTGATATCGCGCCTTGCGTTAGGTAACCATTGAATGATGTCTTTGAATTTTTAAAGCATTTTAGAAGTCTTATTACTTCATTTTAAGCTTCTCAGAACACTTGTTTTCACTTAGGTTTACATAGTTAACTTTAGGGTCAAGCTGTGTTCCCCCTAATTGACCTAAAATTATTTCCTGTGGTAGGGTACACTATTACCCTGTAATATAATATAAGATCCAATTAAAATATTATAGGTCAATATTAAGGTCCGATACAGTGCCGTTAGTTAACACTGAAAAGTGTCTTCAAATTTCCTTGTTTTAATGCACTATTTAAAATATACATAGTGTACCCCCTAATTGACCTATAATTATTTCCTGTGGTAGGGTACACTATTACCCTGTAATATAATACCTGGTCCAATTTAAATATTATGGTTCCATATTAAGGTCTGATATCGCGCCTTGCGTTAGTTAACCATTGAAAGATGTCTTTAAATTTTTAAAGTAGTTTAGAAGGCTTATTTCTTCATTTTAAGCTTCACAGAAAACTTTATTTCACATAGGCATACATAGTAAACTTTAGGGTCACGCCGTGTTCCCCCTAATTGACCTATAACTATTTCCTGTGGTAGGGTACACTACTACCCTGTAATATAATATAAGGTCCAATTGAAATATTATAGGTCAATATTATGGTCTGAAGTGCACCCCCTAATTGAAATATAATTATTCCCCGTGGAAGGGAGCACTATTACCCTGTAATATAGTACCTGGTCAAATTTAAATAATATGGGTCAATATTAAGGTCTCATATCGCGCCTTGCGTTAGTTAACCTTTGAAAGATGTCTGAATTTTTAAAGCATTTTAGAAGGCTTATTTCTTCATTTTAACTTTCTCAGAACACTTTATTTCACATAGGCATACATAGTAAAATTTAGGGTCACGCTCTGTACCCCCTAGTTGACCTATAAATATTTCCCGTGGTAGGGTACACTATTACCCTGTAATATAATACCTGGTCCAACTGAAATATTATAGGTCAATATTAAGGTCTGATATCGCGCCTTGCGTCAGTTAACCTTTGAAAGATGTCCTTGAATTTTTAAAGCATTCTGTACCCCCTAGTTGACCTATAAATATTTCCCGTGGTAGGGTACACTATTACCCTGTAATACAATACCTGGTCCAACTAAAATATTATAGGTCAATATTAAGGTCNTTTGCCGTTAGTTAACATAGAAAAGTGTCTTCGTATTTCCTTGTTTTAATGCACTATTTAAAATATACATAGTGTACCCCCTAATTGACCTATAATTATTTCCCGTGGTAGGGTGCATTATTACCCTGTAATATAATATGGGGTCCAACCTAAATATTATGGGTCAATATTAAGGTCCGAAATTGGGCTTTACGTTAACAGTGAAGAGGGACTTCGCGCTACCTATTTTTAAAGCTCTTTAGAAAGCTAATTTCCTCATTTTAAGCTTCTCTGAAACACTTATTTCACATATGCGTACATAGTAAACTTTAGGGTCACGCTTTGTACCCCCTAATTGACCTATAATTATTTCCTGTGGTAGGGTACACTATTACCCTGTAATATAATACGTGGTCCAATTTAAAAATTATAGGTCAATATTAAGGTCCGATACCGTGCCGTTAGTTAACATAGAAAAGTGTCTTCGTATTTCCTTGTTTTAATGCACTATTTAAAATATACATAGTGTACCCCCTAATTGATCTATAATTATTTCCTGTAATAGGGTACACTATTACCCTGTAATATAATATGGGGTCCAATTTAAATATTATGGGTCAATATTAAGGTCCAAAATAAGGCTTTACGTTAACATTGGAAAGTGACTTCGCGCTTCCTATCTTTAAAGGGTTTTAGAAGGCGAATTTCCCTGTTTTGAGCAATAGTGAATTAAGTCAATTTTAAGGTCAGATATCGTGCCGTTTGTTAGCATTGAAAAGTGTCTTCGAATTTCCTTGTTTTAATGCACGGCATAAAAT